TGCGGTGGTCTTGATTAGCCAGGGACACCAGGTTTCTTCCACGGATTGCCTCTGGTCAATTTTCTATGCAACTTGACAAAAAAGAAATGTGACAAGTTCTATCTTGGACCTCAAAGGCAAAACAAGGCTGTGTTAGTCCTTACTGACCCAGGAGACGAAGAAACCAATTAAAACTTCTTCTCATGTTTTATCCTCTGGTGGTGCAATCAACATCAAGGTGATGGGCTAGTCTAGAGCATGCAGGGAGGAGATGCTAGTGCTTCCTGCCTGGTGTGGATTTGGGGAGACCACCTGACTCAGCCAAATGTGTCATTTATATAGGAAGCTGGAGCTTCTACCATACAAAATACCCAAGCATAGGCAGGCTCTTAGAAATCTCTTGGATTCATTGGCAAAGGATGGCTGAAGGTTCTTGGAACCTGCAGACCCCTTGCCCAAGAAAGTCTCATGATCAGAGCATTCAAATAATCCACTTCTTCATGGCCTCCTGCCTAGGGGCAGATCCAGGTTTTAGGGAGTGTGAAACCTCTGTAATTAGAGAGAGCCCTCTTAAAGACAAAGACTATATAATTAGGGATGCAAAATTAGGTATGAAGTGAATGTTTATTTGGAATAGAATGGTATCAAAGGAAATTTTAAAATTCTAAATAATGAAAAATTTAAAATAATGATAAATTCCACAAATGTCAAAATACCTAAATCTTTATACTAGTTATGCCTGTAGAGAAACTTTTTTCTACAGATTCTCTCATAGCTTCACTATTTGGTGAAATTTTACAATTATTTTTGTAGAGAGAATAAATCATTCCCTCTTTTAGCATGGTTGATTGAAAATTGATTAAAATAAATTTTTTTTTTTTTGAGACAGAGTCTTGTTCTGTCACCAGGCGCCAGGCTGGAGTGCAGTGGCACGATCTCAACTCACTGCAACCTCCAGGATTCAAGCAATTCTCCTGCCTCAGCCTCCCGACTAGCTGGGACTACAGGTGCACCCCACCATGCCCAGCTAATTTTTGTATTTTTTTAGTAGAGACGGGGTTTCACAATGTTGGCCAGGATGGTCTCGATCTCTTGACCTTGTGATCCGCCCACCTTGGCCTCCCAAAGTGCTGGGATTACAGGCGTGAGCCACCATGCCTGGCCTGAAAACTGATTTTTAAAAATAGTTTAGAAGTGTTTCTTTCAGTTTCACCATTTGTTACTGGTAGTTTCACCACTACATTATTGGTACAGCTATTAGGACGATTGCATTTTGGAGAAACCCTTACACATTTCTTTCATATATGATAGGAGCTGTATAAGATTTCAGGACATTTTGGCCAGGCAGTGTCTCACTCCTGTAATCCCAGCACTTTGGGAGGCTGAGGCAGGCAGATCACCAGAGGTGAGGAGTTCGAGACCAGCCTGGCCAACATGGCAAAACCCCGTCTCTACTAAAAATACAAAAATTAGCCAGGTGTGGTGGCGCGCACCTATAATCCCAGGTATTTGGGAGACTGAGGCAGGAGAATAGCTTGAATTCAGGAGACAGAAGTGGCAGTGAGCCTAGATCATACCATTACACTCCAGCCTGAGTGACAGAGTGAGACTCTGTCTCAAAAAAGAAAAAAAGAAGATTTCAGGGCATTTCACATTGTGTGTGTGTCTATGTGTGTGCATGTATACATACACTTGCCAACTGAATCTTAAGTGTTCTTTGAATTGATAGGTTGTTTATCATTTTGCCATCAGTTTGTGTTGGTCCCTGCATATTTGTGTTAATATGGTGGATAGTAAGGGTATTACTGGAAGCCATTGCTACTGATACTGTTGGAATAATTTAACTAGACACAGAGTGCCTGTAAATTACGTAACTATATCCGCAGTGAATCAAAATTAAATGTCACTCCTACACAAAATCCCCTTAGGTGGGTCCCCAGGATTCCCATAGATACTTCCATTGCCATCCAACTCAAAAGAAAAGGTGGTAAAGAAGTCCTATTGAAGCGAGACAGTGATCTCCACAGATAAGTGTAAATAACCTACGTTTGCAAATTAAAAAAAACACACAGTCATGTGACCTTATTACCAGGGTACTCCCCAGAGCCTTGGAAGGTGCCGATGCAAGCAAGAAGCCCTTGACACGTGAGCTTTATTAGCTCCATGGTAGATCTTCATGTAAAGGTTTACTCAACTTAATCTAGGCCGACTTCCCTGGATGGTGGCCGGCTAGGCTTCCTTCACTCATCACTAAATGTTGAGAAATGACTGGCATGTCAATCCAGCTCAGTTCCCCAGTATTTCCTCAAATTAAAAACCTTGCCAGTTTGGGGTTCCATTCCTGCATCTCCCCACCTTCATATAGTAGACAGAAAAGCCAAGCTTTGAGGAATGTTTCATAAGAAGAAAGTTAGTTTAGGTCTGGCCTTTCCATCTGCAGTAGAGAGGACTTCCCTCCATCATGTAGGGCCCTTGTCTACATAAATAATCAGAAGCACTCCAAGTCAGTGTGTCAGCACCCTTCTGATAGCCCACTGTCTTGCAGTCCCACAAAGAAATACTGTGCTGGCCTGTAGCAGTAGTTAGCTTGTCTGGCTGCCCTCCCTGGAACAAGGGCCTGGCCTTGAGACTTTAAAACAACCTGATACAGACATGAGTCCTAGTGCTCCTTGGAGCATCTGATGGGTTGCATAAGTGGGTTAGAAAGTTGGAGCAAACTATGAAGGGGAGAAACCAAGCCTGGAACTGAGAGGCCCATGCAGGTCTGGGTCTAGGTCCAAGCCTGAGGTACTCGACTTGAATGACACCATCCAGTCCTGGGTATCGAAGGGGGACTTAGGACATTCTGAGGAGGGTGCTTAAAAGCACCGGGCGCCTGAGATAACTGTGCCCACATCTAATGGCAATACTGGCAAAGAGGCTTTTTTTTTCTTTTGTTATTGTAGCAATGACTATGAAGTGTTTAAAGATAGAAACTGCTGGAAAAGCTGAACTTTCCCTGGAATTGTTCACTGTCATTTTAATTGGCTCTATTTAAATAATTTTCCTGGAGAATATGATGATTGAACTTTAGTAAGTGTATTTTGCCTCCAGTGATTTTGATTCCTGGCCACCCACCACTCTGTACTCCCAACCTCATTCCCCTGGTGGGACCTTCTCTCTAGTCTGCATGAACTTCTATTCTCACCTCTTCATTGGAGCGTTCCTATGTGGCTATCTCTGAATGCTGTGAAAGATTAGAGAGTTTGGAAACAAACTTCCATGTCCATTTTTCTGTCTTTGTTTAGGAAGCAGGGAGGATGTTGGTGAACTGAAGCCAACAGCAAATGAGTGTGCTCACAACTTTATTTTGCTAGTTTATTCTTTTTCTAGTTTCCCCCTCTCTTGCTAGTTCCCCCCTCTTTTTCTAGTTTCCCCCTCTCCTGCTAGTTTCCCCCTCTTTTGCTAGTTTCCCCCTCTCTTGCTAGTTTTCCCCTCTTTTGCTAGTTTCCCCTGTCTTGGTCGTTCCCCCCTCTTGTTAGTTTCCCTCTCTCTAGCTTGTACTCTGCCTCTCATTGTCTCCTGCTGCTCTCACCTAGAGTACAGCATTTGGCTTTGCACATGATGGTGGCAGAGCATGTGTGTAAAGAATGCTTGAAAGAACTTAGTTTGGAGAATAAAAGATTTAAGGAAGACACATGAGCTTCAGATATCTGAAGGCTCGTCATGTGGAAGGGAAGAAGCCTTATTCTTTGTGACCCCAAGCAGTTAAATTGGGTCAGTGAATAGAGGTTAGGGAAAGATTCAGTTCCAAGGGAAAGAAAAACCATTACGGTTGTCAGAAATGGAATGTGCTATGTTGTGGTGACCACTTGGTAAATATATTAGGGACCTGATTCAGACGTTGGTTGGATTTGGAGTTCATTCTTTTGTGGCAAGATGAAATGAAGTATGAGAAGTGTGTCACATCCCAAGGTTAGATAACATCCTCATAGAGCAAGAACATCCCCTTTTTAAAAAAATTTTTTACCTTCTTCTCCTTCTGGGAACTGTACTCTGAGTCTTTGACTCTTGCATATGGCATTTTATTTACCCTTGTATGTTTTGCTCCTGTAGCTCTGTTGCCATTTCCTGGCTGGGACCCCTTTTATCTGCTGACCTGCTTAATTCCTCTCTCATGCTTGCCTATCTAATCACCTTATGTAGGCTCACCTCATCTCTATGTGGCTTAAGCCAGGAGTTAGCATGAGGACTAGGTTATCATTAAACCCTTTCTAATACCTGTGATTCTGTGAATCTGTGGCCTTTGCCTTGTTTGGTTTGGCTGTGATTGGACAGTGGGTCCCAGTGGAGGATGGCTCCTGGAATAATCTCCCCCATGAGGCCCTCTTCTGACTTTTCTCTTCCATTCTCTAATTCCCACACTAACAGAGAAAGGAGAGTATATTTTAATGAGGGCTTCTGAAATAATTTCTGATTTTTTGTTTTGTTTTGTTTTTTTGAGACAGAGTCTTGCTCTGTCTCCCAGGTTCAAATAATTTTCCTGCCTCAGCCTCCTGAATAGCTGGGATTACAGGTGCTCCCCGCATCATGCCCAGTTAATTTTTGTATTTTTAGTAAAGACAGGATTTCAGCATGTTGGCTAGGCTGGTGTTGAACTCTTGACCTCAATTGATCTGTCTACCAGGGCCTCCCAAAGTGCTGGGATTACAGGTATGGGTTACCATACTTGTCCCTTGTTTTCATTACTAGAAAAGAATTAAGTTTTATGATTATTCATATTCATAAAAACAGAAGTATAAAGGAAAGAAAAGTATGATGGCACAGTCAGGTTTATTCATTCTTACTCAAATGCTCTGCACTTAGTCTTAACCTGCCCAGCGAAAAGTTGGGCTGTGTTCCCAAGTGTGGGAGTGGAAAAGTAGCAATACCGTATACCCACAGCCGAATTTATTTCAGTCCTCACCCTGTGGGCTCGTCAGCCTATCCTCCTTGCTTAGCCTTTTGTCTTCTTGGACCAACATCCTTAACCTTTGTCACATCACCAATTTGGAATATCTCCTGGATCACTTGGCAGAAGTGACACCGGCTCTGGAGTACCTCAGCCTGCTGGGCAATGTGGCCTGTCCCAACGAGCTGGTCAGCTTGGAAAAGGATGAGGAGGACTACAAGAGATACAGGTGAGTATCCAGGGGTTGGAGCATGGTGGGAAAAGGGAAAAATAGAAGCTTTAGAAGATGATACTGTACTCTGGGGTACATAGTAGATGTTTGGTAAATATCAGTGGGCTTCCCATGATAATGTTAAACTCTTAGCTTTTGGTAACCTACAGCCATTGTCTCTCTTGGTTGAGGTCACAAAACCTAAGAAGGATGAAAAGTTGTTGCCTTGTCTACTTTTCTTGTGACGTGTCAGATATTAAGTATTTAGGTTTTTCAAGTTATATGGACTCTGTCACAACTGCTCAGCTCTGCTTTCACAATGCAGAAGTAGTCATACGTAATTTGTGAACAAGTTGGCATGGCTTTGTTCCAGTAAAGCTTTATTTATAAAATAGGTGGCAGGCCAGATTTGGCACATGGGCTGTAACTTGCTGACCCCTGCTCTGTGTTGTAAGATCTTTCTGTGGTCTGCCTCAGAGTCACATTGCAGAGAGTTGACTTCCCACCAAAATTTAGGGAGCTCATATACAATCCCAAGAAGTCCCACAAGCCCATACCTCTCCACCATAGAGCTATGCCACAGTGTCCACCAGCCATGCGCTTTGATGGGCTCCAAGTAGAGATGCTTTTCATTCTTCTGTATACTTCTCAACCATCTGCTTTAAAAGCCCTGATCCAAAGTCATTTAGAGAGTCTTTTTGGTCTTACCTATTTTGCCAAACTCACTTAATTTTCCTTCTTCATTTAAAATTGTATGTGCTCTCATTGTTGATTGTTGTTTTGTAAATGCTTTAGTGACCTTTTCATATATCTAGCCTCTCTCTCCATTATGACATAAGCTCTCATTAAACATCCCACCTGAATCAATGTGGGAAGGAAGGAAGGAGGAAAGGAGGGAAGAGAGGAAGGAAGGAAATATTAGGTAGGATTCTTGGAAAATAGTTTTGGAAGAGTTGGGGGAAAAGGAGATAAGGGTTGGGGGGAACTTGTTCTATTTGGACTCACATAAAAATCTGTCATAATGCATGAAGGAAAGTAGTTGGGGGCCTTCATTTTGTATAAAGGCAAAGCTGTAAGAAATACTAAAGGCTATTGAACATTATAGATTAAAACACACAAAAACACTTACATGTGGGGACAATCTGGGGGAGAATTTTGTACCTTTAACTTCATTTTCTAGATTTCTTCATTAATTTTATAGGGATCTTAGAGGGTTATTAAGCTATCTTAGAACAAAGTTCTAACTCTACTTAAAAAAAAAATAGTAAATCTTTCTCCATCATGAAGATTTTCATTTGGGATATAATGGTATAGATTTGATTGTAACTTCTATTAAGAGAAATACAGTTAAAGTCTAGCAAATGGATACTTAAAAATTACCAAACCCCTGTTTCTTAAGTCACCTAATCACTTAGAGCTTGACTTGCTTCTGTAATACTCTTAGAAAAGCTTTGAAGCATTTAGCAGCCTGATTTCAGGTGTGAACAAATCACTTAGCATATTTTTTTCTTCTTGCAGCAACTTATTTTAAAATATGTCTTGGAAGGGCCAAGCACATCTAAGAGCATAAACAATAAACATTTTTAGAAAACCAAGATTCAGGAAATTCTCATTTGTTTTACAACTTTTTTTCTTTAGATTTCTGTGTGTAACTCTTAAAAATAATAAATTTTGTATATGTGCGTAAGCATATATATGTGTTTGTATATATGTGTATGTCTATAAGTATATGTGTATACACACATTTACACACTTGTTCATTCGTTCATTCATTCATCCAGGAAGCTATGTGTGAAGTCAACCATGTAGGCAAGTTTTTGTTTTTTTCTGGAGAGAGGTAGAGAGGGAAGTTTCCAGTTCCACATTATTGGTCTCAAGTACAGGACTTATGAGGTTGCAAAAGGAAAAGAACAGCTAATATAATTTTTTCTTTTCTTTTTCTGTACCATCAGCTCTCAAATAATTACTATTTTTTTTTTCTATTGTGACCAGTTGGATTAGCAAAAGTACTAAGACCAAGGCGTACAGGGTCAGATCAGAAGATCCGACATAGTCCAGCTTTGCCAGTGGGACCTGTAAAATGGAAGAACAGTCTAGATCAGTATTCCATAACCAAAGATGAACCTCTGAGTCCTCCAAGGCAATGTGATGCCGTTGCCGGCAATTACAGCACAGCAGTTCATAGGTGTTTCTGATGTCCAGTTGGCTTTAGCATCGTGAGACACTCTGCTCCCAACCAGTTCCACTTCTTCCTTCACTGTCTCACAACATTTTATATATTTTATCTTGTGTATTTCTCTTATTTCTTCATATACTTCCACATCTAGAGAATGGCGTCCAGTGGGTAGGAGCTGAGTCGTCTTGACTCTTGAAGCCTCATCAATGCCTCAAGTAGTGCTGGATATGAGAAAGGGGTTTGGTACCTTTTTTTTTTTTTTTTTTTGGAGGTGACTTGAAACCACATTTTCTTCTCAGGAGCTAGGAACTTACAGGGAGATACAGGGACATTTAGCTGCCTCAGATGCCTTCTGCCCATTTGGAATCAGATCCATTTGGATGTCAATAAATGTAGCTAATAAGCAAAGGACTGTGATTCAGACTCAATCCAAGTGCTGGTTGTGGGTCGTCAATCTTTATGGAGGGCTGGATTCTACAAGTGTGTTCTATCTCATGGGCTAGCCTGGGCACCCTCTAAGCCCATCCTCCCCACTCCATTTCTGTTTCCTTGGAAGGAGTTGAGGGGTGCGTCTAGGGAGGTGGTTTGTGAGTGTACATGGGACAAAGTTGCCATGAGAGGCTAGATTCTAGAGGTTACACAAAGCCAAAATCATACCTGATCAGAATTAACTTAGAAAATTCATGTCATCCACAGTGATGGCAAGAGGCTTGCATTCCTGGAGAAACAGGAACTAAGAACAGCACAAGGAACAGTAAATACGTTTCCATGTAGTTACACATTCACTGCACAGCAACTGGCTATAGAGTGGAATGGTAGGTGGATTCTCTAGCGTATTTAAATTTTTTATTGATTTGGTCTCTTTATTTTTTACTGTTGGTTTGATGAGCACTCACACTTGTATATGGAAGAAATAGATATGTGTTTGATATAGTTCCATTCATGGGTTTGTAAGCAGATCCGCTTTGTCCTTCCTGGAGTTTGTGCTCCATTTGCCACTGAGAAATTTTAGGGTTTCGCAATGTGACTTTGATTCTAGGGTTCCTGTTGCATTTGTGTTTATACAAAGCAATGCAGCTGCCTTCTCTTTTTCTTTTGGTAAAACATTTTCCTGGCCCTTCATCCACAAAGCGCGAGGTTTTCCTTCCTTCTAGCTGTTACCCAGAGCCTAATAGTAGAGCCTCTATGTAAATTTATGTGACATTTTCACTAGAAAATTGCTTAAAAATGAATGATATTTCTACAGTTTACTGTTTTTCACTTTAAGTACATTTTCTGACAATATGTCTTCTATTAATCATTTAAGCCATACTAGGAGCCTTAAAGGAGTGTATTCAGAAGCAAGAACCCATGGTTCATTTAGTGCTGTCTGAAAAAATTTCTTATTGATTGGCATCCTCTGTGGTTATGTGATGTAATATTTATAATATGTCACCCAGCCATACATCAAAACAAGTGTGTCTGTTGTTTCGTTTCCATGGGAGATGTTGATTTCAAAGAGGTCAGCCCAGTTTTAGGTCACGTTGTGGCCAGCCACTGGACCAGAAATGGGAAGTGACTCGATTTATGTAGTTATTGGAAATGGCAATCACAGAGCTTGAGTTTCTGCGGAGTCTTTCTTCCCCTCCCCCCACATTCACCCCTTTCACTTCCTCACTTACCCCCTGTGCACCCAGTTGGGTTTTCTTGGCACACATCCCCACCATAAAACAGGCTCATTAAACTTATATGTGAGCATGAACATACTACCGAGTTGTTGAGTAGCGCCCTGGCCCCACTGGGGCAGGAACAGAACCATGCCTGAGATTTCTCTTTTCCATTCATCATAGTGCATGGCTGAGAAATGTCCACGGCCCTGTTATTATAGGAGCTTAAACCTGTCTGCTTTTTGGTGTGTATACACCATGCAGCTATTTTGGGATCAATGTTGAATGGAGGTGAATGTGGTAATCAGCAGCCTCCAGGATTCGGGCAGGAAGAGAACAGTGGTGCAAGGCTTGGCCGGAGAGACCACCATGCTAACTAAGAAACCACTTTGGTACCCCTTGTGGATTTCAACACTAGCCAAAATAACAAGTCAATATGGAAAGTTGGGTGCCCGGAATGGTCTATTTCTTGTCTTCCCTTGCAATCTCTTTTTTACTTTTTGCTATAGAAAGAACAATGGACTGAAGGTCAACAGTAGAGAAGTCTGGAGTTACCTTTCAAATAAGGAAGTTGGTCTCATGGTGTCTTAGTTTTTCTTCTGTCACTGAACCCTCTGTTGCTGTTCCCCTGTGCCACTCCAGTCTCTGGTTGGCCTTGCCTTCCTCCCTCCTCCCCATAGGCCCTTCTGTATTCCTTACAACTTTCAGTTATTTAAAATGTGACGCCCTTTCTTTGTTCCCCTGCACGGAGCAGCCCTGGGGTCTGCCCAGTGTCTGCAGCACTCAGTCAAAGGGAAGGAGGGAGGGACCCTCTGCCGTCTGGTCACTCCAGGCTGCCACCATTTCCCAGCAGAATAGGAGCTGTAAAACTTGTGGCTTACATAACGCAGCGAGCATTCTCCAGCTAATCTACAATCTGGGCTTTGAAGATCACAAGAAAGCAAAGGTCACGACCCAGAGATCAAAGTGACAGAAGCCCACAGAGTAATTGCCGGTTACCCTCTGTAGAGGGCCTTGGTCTGTCCTGTGGGTGTATTGTTTGCATGGAGACTTCAAACATGCTGCTGGTGAACTGTGAGGAAAATCAGCTGGCCTCTGCCAGTTGTCAGGCGTTCGTGAATGCTGTAGGTGAGCTCACCTCGGCTCATTAGACTGAGATCATTGTCATGTCTCTGAGCAGTTATTCCACTCACAGT